GGTCGCATGGGAAGGGGCTGGAGAGAGAGATGGGAGGCCCATTGCACAGAGGGAACTTCTAGTATTGTTGGTATTATTATCTCCACCAAACCCTTATGAATCTTCCCACCCAACTTATTTTCATGCTTTATTTTTCATGTACACTGAGCGCAATTTCATCAAAACCACCCTTGCCTTAGGTTTTGGATTTCAAAGCTTCAGTTTATTTTGTTTCATTTTCATATTTTTTTAATCATATGCTTTTTATTTCTCCCTTACCACCCCACCCTAAAATATCCCCAGAAAAGGATGGAGACCTAAAGACTCAAGTTGAAAAGCTCTGGAGAGAGGTCAATGCCCTGAAGGAAATACAGGCTCTGCAGACAGGTAAGACCCCATCTCATCGATGCCTGTCTCAATGGAGATAGAGGGGAAATTGCGATTTCCTAGCAATTCAAACCATACCTAGAGTGCATGTCAAGTTCTAGGTGACGTATTTTTAAAAGAGACATTGACACGCCAGATGTGTCTTGGAGAAAGGATCCAAAAGCTGAGGAGATGACTGTTTGGGAAATCAGCTTGATTTTCCACTCCTTTCTTTTATATAGAGATAAAAATAGGCATTTCAATAATACAATTTTAAAAGTCTGTTCAAAAGTCTTCTCTTATAGGCAATGAAACAGAAGTGAAGCGAGTATTAACTACCTTGAATAATTAGCATTCCTTGGATGTTTACTAAGTGCTCATTGGGAGATCTGCTGAGATTCAATGAAACAGAGGGCCACAGGACTCAGGCATGTACATCAAATGCAAATGGAAGGACATTGGTTAGAACCACAGCTTGCCAACAGAGGGCAGCATCTGGCGTTCCTGTCTTTCTGGAGCAGAGCTCCCAGGGGTGAGGAAATGAGAGCCACACTGGGTGGTTCAGGAACAGCCTGGCTTGCAAAGCTCATAGCCACAGAGAACAATACTCTCTTCATAACTCAAAAGTAGAGCTTCGAGGGTCCCACAAGAGACCTGCCCAATTATAAGAGTTACAGCCTTCAGAGAAGACTGAAGTTACAGCTTTCAATCAAGTGCTTGTAACTCCCAGACCATACATGACACCAATTCAAGGTCATTTTTTTACCATAAGCAATGTTGCCTAGTAACACTGGTGATATAGCTCCGTTATCAGGTTTCCAGGGAAACAGAAAAATAAAAGAAGGTCAAATGTGCATGTATAAGGGGAGTTTTATTAATGCTTCACCTACATGAGCACATTAATCTCTAATAATTTCTGAGATACCTGCCATAGTAATTATCCTCATTTTACAGATGAGGAAACTGAGGCACAGAGAAATTAAATAATTTGCCCAAGCTTTACAGAGCTAGTAAACTTCAGAGCCTGATCCGCCCATGCTTTTCACTTAATCTATCTTTATGTTTGGTTTATCCTGGATAACCTAAACAATATATATAGCAGGGCTGAGTTATCTGCATAAGAAAAACACTGTCTCTCTCTATACAAACTCAGGCTTTTGTTTCTGTTTTTAATAATTATGAAATATCATTCCAGTTCTAAAAGTCCCAAAGAAATTCAGCACATAGTGGAGCTACAATAACTAACAACCATGTGTATATCAAAGCATCATGAGGCGAAAGGCCATATTTTAAGGGAGGGACAGACCTGGGTGTGCGTAGCTGTAATCTTTCATGCTAAGTTATATTTTTACATGCTAAGTTGTTGCAAACCACAACTTTTCTAAGCCTTAATATCCTGATATGTAAAGATGGGAGTAATAAAATCCCACTCCATGGGACTGTTGTGATTATTATATGAGTAAAGTGCTTGGAAGAGATCAAAATTTATCTTTTTGTATATTGTATGTACAATGTCCAACACATACAAAATCCCCAGTAAATAAATGTTGATTTATCATTGCCATCACATATCATTCATTCCACAAATATATACTGGTACTTGCCAGGTCCAGTCCTGGATGTCTTATACTCAGAAAGCATTTTAATATTTCAAATCTCACATCTTTCCAGTCTGTCTCCGAGGCACAAAATTTCACAAGAAATGCTACCTTGCTTCGGAAGGCTCGAAGCACTTCCATGGAGCCAATGAAGACTGTATTTCCAAGGGAGGGACCCTGGTAATCCCCAGAAACTCAGACGAAATCAATGCCCTTCGAGACTATGGCAAAAGGAGCCTGCCGGGTGTCAATGACTTTTGGCTAGGCATCAATGACCTGGTCACAGAAGGCAGGTTTGTTGATGTCAATGGAATTGCCATCTCCTTCCTCAACTGGGACCGAGCACAACCTAATGGTGGCAAGCGGGAAAACTGTGCCCTGTTCTCCCAGTCAGCTCAGGGCAAATGGAGTGATGAGGTCTGTCGGAGCAGCAAGAGGTACATATGCGAGTTTATCATCCCTTAATAGATCCTTCTCAAATGCATCTTCCAAGCATGATTTATAGGCTAACGGTTCTCAAGAATAAGTTAAATTGTCCATAGGAATACAAGAATCAGCCAATTTTGCGACCATATTTCATTGTGATTTTTCCCTTCATGGGGCATGAGGGATCAGAAAATAATGATCCAGGTATGTACTCACTGTTAAAGTGGCTTCTGCAAAATGGGCTTCAAATCCTCTTTTTCCTAGTCCCTCTCACGTGTATAGGCGAGGTCTGTATTAAAAATACAATAGCCAGAAAAGCAAGCTTCTCTTGAAAGTTTAATTTATATTTTGTTAATGAGAATTCTCTAAATCAGAGATTCTAGGTGCTATATAATCCAAAGCCTTTTTAGTCTGATGCTCAATGTGTTCCATTCTAGCCTTAGTGCCTTGTTAGCCCATTCCCTTTTCTTGGAGTTGCTACATCGCCTGGTAGAACTTGTATCTTGCCTACCATGTCAGAACATGAATGCCTCAGATTCTCATTAATTTTTTTCTTCAAGACCCCTTCCCCATATACTTTTTCTTTTTAATTCCCAATCAAGATCAGAAAGGAAATGATAAGGCAGCATATTTGGTCATTTTCCCCTTCCAGCATTACATTACCAACTTCCAATTTGAATGGCTAACCTTAAGGCAGAACAAGAGCAGCAGATTGTATGAAAAAAATGGAAAAAGAAAAAATGTCTGATTTTTCATTGCTTTAGCATCCTACTTCCTTTATGAAATTGAAGATGGATAATCTATATCTATCTAGATATAGATATATAATATAGATATAGACATATAGATATATATTCATTTCTTTTTTACATACTTCATATTCCAATAATCATATATTTAAATCTATTAGGGGCAATCTATCTTTGGAGGTTAAAAATTGGATTTCAATAAAACTATTTTGGAGTCACATCTCTGTGCAATTTCTTATTCTGCCAAATGCTATTCCCATTAAATTATTTAACTAGATTGTGTAAAATAACTTCATTGCTTACTATGAAATTACAATTTTTAGGCGTGGGAGAAATAGGTTTTTTAAAAGCAAGTAATTTTAAGTATATTCTATACTTCAAAAGCAAACAATTTTAAGTATATTCTGTTCTTCAAATATCATTTTTTTTCTTTAAATATTGAATGTATTTTGTATTATCATTCTCTGCAAACTTTAACTACATGTGCTTGGAATAATGTTTTGGTTCTTTCCCTTTTACAATAATAAAGCATGAATTCTGATCAATCTGGATGTATCTGGATATTGATTATAGTTACTCAAAATATGTTGGTTTATATCAAATTTGACACAATTCAGGGGGTACTCATGATTTACATGTACTAGGAAGATAATTTTACCTGACAATAAAGAGGAAAAGTATGTGGGGGAAGAGGGGGCACTTTAAAAAGAAAATTATATCTGCAATTGATTTTGGTTGACCCTGGCCAATGGGTCAACCCCAATACAATCATAATCTCCTCAAAGATGATGACAATGAAACTGACACCATTATAATTAGCTAGTTATTGATAATAGGAAAGGAGCAAAAGAAAGGCCAGACATTATAAACATGGCCACCAGGAAGCTGCAATTTCACATTCTTCAGGGAACCACCAACCCATTCCTCACAGATTATTGGGGGAAGGGTTCCAACAAATGGGAGATAGATACACACCCAGTGAAGTTGGGGTGACTAGGGAAAGTGCCTGTCAATCAAACCTGGGAACAAAGATCATTGGCCAGAATGGGTGGGGCCACTGTAAACCTACAAAAATCGGGGGATACATAATCCCTCAAACAAAGGAGTTTGCTTTTCTTGTGACTCTTGGCTTTGAGGCTTTCTTGTTCCTGTTCCTTGCATTCACCCATGTTTTCTCCAAGCTATGTGGCCCTGTGAACCCCACATAAAAACGGACTGATGGGCTGTGGCTGCGAACACACACTTAACTAGCCTAATGTTGTATTGCACTGTGCAGACATGGAATGGAAGCTCTGGACACTGGCTTTGATTCTAGCCCTACTGAAGCCATAGCTACACTTCTTTCTTGGGGGAAGGAAGGGAAATGGGACCTTGGAAACTTCCGGGTTCGGTTCCACAGAAAGCAAGCTTTCTACAACATCTCATCCTCCCATGTGCCTCTCAGAAAATTCTTTTTCTTGTGACGTCATGAGAAGCCCACTCCCACAAGCAACAGATGGGAACATGGGGTGGGGCCACAACATTAGTAACAAAGAAACAGAATTTCTGGAGAATGAGGCCCAGAAATCAGGATTTTAAAAAGATTCCCAGGTGATTCTAATGTGCAGCCAAGGTTGAGAACCACTGATTTATTGCAAGGCTCAATGGTCCCTTTCTCTTCCCTAGCACTGCTGAATAGCATTTCTCAAACAAAAAAAAAATAAAGATACAGTCTTCCTTACATTCAGATTGTTAGGTCTGATCACATACTTGAATGGATATCCCCTCCCCTGGGAAACTGACCTTTAGATCATTTCCAACTGACAATCCCTTTAGACCACATTCCATTTGCTAGGACCAGTAGCTTTCCCCTCTGACTTGCCCAGGATCCAGACCCACCCAGACGCTAAACCATTCGTAGACGACCTCCTTCTGGGTCGGGGTTTCCTATGTAGCAGAGCAGCTCCCTCACTGCGATCTATTGAAAGTCAGCCCTCAACACAAAGGTTTGAAAAAAAGTTAAGAAAAGATTAAAGATAAAAAAAAAATAGAAAGACAAAAAAAATAAGACCCGCCCAGAGAATTCTCCTGGTGAAAAAGACTGCCTAGAGTCCTTTAAAATCTCTGAGTGCCATTTTGGGGCTCAGCCCACTGCTGGGGCACCCACAGCACATTGTGCTGGACCCCGCAGCATCAACTTCTTCCGGCCACTGAGAGTGGACTTCAACTACACAGAGGGGCCTGTTGGCATAGGGGCCACTTTTTCACTTCGTTTGGCTGAGTCTCCTAGAGAGGAAGGGATAGTGACTTGGCTTCTGCCTTCTGTTGGGCACTAAAGGGAGGAAGGGTCTGGGAAAATAGACTGTCTCCTGTCTTCACCTCTTGAACCCCAACACCAGCTGACCACCAGGATCTAGTGACAACTAATGGCCATGACTGCCTTCCCTCCTTGCCTAGTAATGGCAAAGCTAAAGTTACCCTACCAGCTTCTTTTTTTTGTTTTTTTTTTTTTAACAGGAGCAAGCAATTCACAAGATAATTTTTTTTCTCATTTGAAAATGGCAGGTAATATCTGAGACCATCTAGAAAATGGGATAATACTCCCACCTCATTAAAGATTTTATGACGATTTTATGCGACAGTGCGGCTAGAAAGGCACTGCACAGTCTGTTGCTCGTAGGAGATGCTTAGAAAATGAAAATGATCATCACCAGCTGCAAACTGATTTCTAAGAACCGGGGGAAAGGACCCTCATGATTTTAGAAGCAATTGCTCTAATATCAAATATCAGGTGGCTCTGAGAAAAGAGAAATTACCTGAGTGCCTCAAAGAATAATGAGAAGATTAAAATGACAGTAATTTTCCAAGGCGTGGCTTTAGCCAGAATGAGCCATCTAAGTCAGCCCTGGAGTTTCCCTGTGAAGAGTGAACACTCTCAATTTTAAAATGTGTTATCTTTTAGCATAATATCATTTTCAAAAAAATCCAGGCTACCATTTAACCTTATGACACTGTGGGTTTTATGAATAAAAACGTATGGCATAAGCCATGATTTTGTAAAATTTTCTGAGTCTGTGTGATAACTCAAATTTATCCAATGATTTTTTCTTTATGCATATTTTATCTCACAATAAACATATGATGTTGGTTTTTTACTATATGTCACTTTACTAATGAGCAAATTAAGGGTGAAAGAGATCAAGTAATTTGTTAAGGTTACAAAGTTGGAAAGTTGTGGAACCAAGATTAGAATCCATATTCAAAAGACTCTGGGCCAGGGTTCTTTCTAACACCCCAGGCTGCCACTCCCTTGCCATGCCATACAGGTTAAAATTAGCATGTGGCTAAATTATCTAATTAATCTAATAGCACTATTAACATGTACTATCACTTTTATGTCGATAAGTGTAGAGAACAGACTCTCGAGGTAAATCACCCAAAGGAGGAGTTCCAAGCAGGACTAAATTACAAAACACTGATGTTGTGCACAGCTGTAACTGACAGAAGTGTCACAGTAATAAAAAACAAAACAGACTCTGGCCATTGAAATGCACAAATCATCTTATCTACATATTTATTAAGTTTGTATCAGGCACTATTCTAGATTTTTAGGCATACAGCCATTAACACACACGATTGAAAGGGAATGAATTAAACTGTTAATAGCTGGATGATAAAATTTTATGGGTGAATTTTATTTTCTCTGTGTTTTTCTTATTTTACTCACTTTCTAAAATGAGCATAGATTACTTTTAAATCAAGAACAATGTTTTATATATGTAAGTGGATTTCAGTGGGCCAGCTTATTTTGATACTTCGATGCTTGTCAAACACATTTACAACTGCCCCCACTGATTTGAGAGCTTAACGTTTTCGTAGCCAAGATGTCCACTGACTTATGTGGCAGCCTACTTTGTAGAAAAAACAAAGACTTTTAAAAAAAATATGTTCTTATTGACTTGAGAGAGAGAGAAAGAGAGAGAGAGATAGAAACAGATTGGCTGCCTCCTGCATGCCCCCTCCTAGGGATCGAGCCCACAACCCAAGCATGTGACCTGACGGGGAATCCCACCAGCGACCTCTTTGTGCATGGGACAACGCTCAACCAACTGCCCAAGTAAAACAAAGGCATTTTTAATAGTTAGACTTTGCCCACCAATTCAAAGAAAGGGGACGGGAGGAAGAGAAAAATTAATCATGTGAAGTGGAGACCAAGTCTTGAGAACATTTTCATTCATCAGTAACATGGATTCAGTGCCCGGAGACCATATTTCACCTCAAGTTATAAAGTGGGGAGTAGGTTATGACTGAGGAGACTCAACCTCAGAAGAGGGGAACAAAAGCAATACTTACATGTGCAAATTCTTTAGGGAAATTTCGACCAGAGGCAAAACAATGTCACACTTATACGTTCCTCCTTTCACTTATTTCAAATATTTCCTACTGACTTACTTTTGCCTAGCAATTTGTACAGACCAAAAGCTCAGTCAAGAAACTTAAGTAAAGATGTGGAAGGAAAACTAAAAAATTCAAAGGATTCTTCCCCTGAATTCGAAAATTGCCAGAGAAGAACACAGGTAAAGGAGGACATTCTCAGTAAATAATGTCTTTCCAGCTTCAGAGAGAAGAAATACTCTTTGTATCTAATCTACACTCTTCCAGCCATCTTTGAAGCCCCCTCGTTCAGCCCACTCTGAAAGGCTTTTCTGTATTTCAGAGTACTAAGTGTTTATACTGTCAGTCTCTTAAAAGCCTCTTTGCTGAGAAAGTGTGTGTGTGCATGCACCTTAAGTGGGGTGAGATCTGTATACTACCAGCAATGCAGAAAATGTGAAAAAAAATTTTTTTTTGCTTTTATTTTTTTTGAAAATGTGAAAAATTTAAGTAGCTCTTTTGCCAGTGGGAAAATCAAAGCTGATGGTCAAGTTAAGATTGATGTGTCAGCAATAACCCAATGATAGCAGACTGTGTTGGAGTCATAATTATCTCTTTACAAATGCCAAGGGCACAGGCAGACATTTTTACGAGCTCTGTGGATATTTATTCAAGCATGTCTGGCTTGGTTTATCTAGAGCTTTTGGTATTTGCTGGCAATTTTCTATGTTAAGAAAATATTTTTTAATCAGATCAAGTTTATAGTGGTCAAAGGTCAAACAACTAATTAAAATTAACAGCAGCCCCCAAATAAATGAATAACTTCCAACACACTAGAGAGGGAGGTAATCTCAGGTTGGCAGTCCTCTAAATTAAAGAGCTGTGTCATTAAGCAGTAAATCTCACTTGGCTGAAGTGCTCAGAAATAAAAGGTTTCTGTGGTTTAGCTGTTGTTGAGTTGTTGGGTACAAGGAGAATAATCATTCTCGACATCATATTCAATGACAGCAGCAACGTAATTAAGGCTCTGAGGTCAGACAGACCCAGGTAGAAACCAAGCTTCCTTTACTTACTAACTAGAAAACTTGTCTGAGTTAACGGGGCACATTAACATCTGCAAGGCTCATTTCTCATCTGTAGATGAAAATTAAAATAGCACCCGCCTCTCTGGGTTATTGTAGAAATTGAATAAGATGATGTCCATAAGCTCCTTAGCAGACATCCATAAGGATGCAATAAATGCTAGCTATTCTTGTTCTTTTTGTCATCCCACTATGAGCATATTTCCCCAAATGTAGAGAAGACACTATACACACACACACACACACACACACACACACACACACACACACCACCCAAGGCAGATGCTAGATTCTCCAAGGAGGCCAAGAAAAAAGCCAGGCCCCTGGAGAGTATTCTTAGCTGCCCTGTGGCCAGATTATCAGACCCCAAATCCTGTGTGCTCACCTGCTATGACAAACACTGGAAGGTAGCTTGATGTAGAGCAGAGTAACAATTAGTCAACCTGAGTTCATGTATGGGCTCCTCCAATGACTCATGGCCAGATGAGATAAGGCAAATTTCTTAATTTCTCAGATACTCAGTGTCCTCCCTTAAAAATTGCATATACTTGCTATGGTGGGATGGCTCAGTTGGTTAGAGCATTGTTCTCTACACCAATAGGCTGCAGTTGGATTCCTGGTCAGGTCACATGCCTAGGTTGCAGGTTCAATCCCTGGTCAGGGCACATATCTAGGTTGCAGTTCAATACCAGGTCAGGGTACATCTCTCTCACAGTGATGTTTCTCTCTCTCTCTCTCTCTCTCTCTCTCTCTCTCTCTCTCTCTCCCTCTCTCTCTCTCTCTCCCTTCCTTGTCCCCCACAAAACATCAA